AATTAACGCAGTTCAGGTTTTTTTACTTCCTGTTGTGGTGGACGTGTGTTCAACATGCAATAAATGTGGATAAGACCAAGGAAGCACTTTTTGAAGGCAAGTTCCAGTATAAAACAATTAGTTGCATCACAGGTTATCCAGAGTTTCATGCAATTTCGGGTGTTTCATTTTTAACTTTCGACTTCTGTTGTAAGTTGATACCGCATGGCGAACAGAAAGAAAATCCTCCGCATTTCGTGACTCGGTGTTCCTTTAAGGTAAGGTTCCTTTTAAGGCTACACGGTAGAATTTAAATAATAGTATAATCTTAATCATATTAAAATCAGAGTATTGGTGTCTTATGTGAATGTACTCAGAACGTCTGGTGAAGTCGCGAGCTGTCAAAGACAGGGCATTACTCTGCCTTTCAGCATGAGCCTCCAAGTTTAGCGTGTTTCCTCATTAAACGCAACGAAAGTGTATGCTTCGCGTTGCTGTGTCAGAATCCTTGTGAAATACAGTAATACTTTAGGACGCTTAGTTTAAGCAAATTTGATGAACGTGATCATGCGTGTTGAATCTGAGGGGAGTCGCTCCAGTATGGAAGGCCGTTGGGGCCAAAACGTCTGCAGCGCGTTGTGTGTGTGTCTGTCTGTGTGTGTGTGTCTGTGTCAGGCCCGTTGAGGGGTGTCAGGGGTGGAGTGAGCGACGTATCTGAGTAGGGGCGAGAGGGGTGTGCAATGTATTTAACGACCGGTTTGCAAGAAATTATCATTCATTTGTGGGCATTTGGGAGTCTCTGTGCACTTGCGGGATACTCCTAGTCTTAGCAACTGGATGAATGTAAAGGAGGATTAAGCAAAATTGTTTCTACTCTATAACTAATGTTCTCAACTCACAGCAAAAAAACTTTACAATGAGTGCAACAGTTTGTATTCTATAGTTTATTATTATAATTTTCCATATCTGCAATTCCTGTATTTTGGCATTTTTTTGCAGTCCACCTAGAATCCAACATGGAAATCAATGTTTTCTTTATTGGCATTGATTGTTTTGAAATTTAAATGTCATTAACATGCCTGTGTTTTAATTTCTGTAATAAATATGGCTGTCAAGCCAGGATCTTGATGGTTTATTGTGGGTATGTTGTTTACATGAAGAAATCTGTGTTACAAGTTAAACAAAAATTCTAATAAACAATTATATTTTGAATTAAAATAGTTTTTGTCTTGCGTTTACATTAATTTTACATTTAAATAGCCAAAATGACAAGTTTCAGTATTTTAAATGCGATTAATCGCAATTAATTTTTTTAAAAAGGTGCGATTAATTAGTTAATTTTTTTTAATCCATTGACAGCACTAATCTAGAGTAAATGATGACAAACTTTACATTTTCGTGTGCACTATCCCTTTAAATTCCAATTGTGTCATATTTACACAGCACAACAACCATTTTAAATACACCTACATATTTTTTTTTCTTAGTTTTAAATGTTCCCACAGACGCTGTTTATTTCCAGCTGTAAATGATAGAGCCAGATGTTCAGTATGGTGCGAGATGTGTTGAAGCTCACTGTTTACATGTGCACACGTGTGTGTGGAACTGCATCTAAACAGCTGCTCACTGCAACTGTACACTGTTTCTGAACTCCGTGCTCTTCCTGACAAACTTCAAAGTCACGAGGGCATCAATCACACGGAGAGCGGGTCACTCAGGCCAAACACACTCCTCTACATCAACAAACCAGCACCACCCGCTGGAAACACACTCCAGACCTCCTGTATGGGATCAAAATCCCGACAAATGTATCGCTGTTGCGAATGGAAAAATAATATGCGTAAATTCGAAAACTGACATCGTGTGTTAAATGATACATGTAGAAGCGGGAAACTAAACACAGAATTAAAAAAAACAACGAGACGGACATGCACAAAACTAAAGCCAGAAACGGCGACGCAGTGGCGCAGTAGGCAGTGCTGTCGCCTCACAGCAAGAGGGTCGCTGGTTTAAGCCTCGACTGGGTCGGTTGGCGTTTCTGTGTGGAGTTTGCATGTTCTCACTGTGTTCGCGTTAAATTGTCCAGTGTTTGTTGATTGTAGCCTATTTTAGAAGCTGATATTATATAAGAACTATTAATAACTGCAATTTTAAGAAAACAAGAAGCCTGGCGCTCTTTGGTATGTCACTACAAAACGACTGAATCAGCTGGTGTGCGCGAGTCGAGTTGCTGTCAATGTTATAATTAATTTGAATAATATTGTAATATTCAAGATCTGTGAAGTAATTCAGCTCTGGATAACTTGAAACAGCGACCACAAGTCTCTCCTCCATCATTAAAGTTTGCCAAAGTCTCCTTGACAACCCAAACCCCGCTGTCACCTCAACAGAAACCCTGCAGTGCTTTCATTTGACTGAAGAATGAAAAAGAGGCGATTGCGCTTTTTCCACTCGAGCACACAGAGTGCAACGGCAAAACTTGAGGCGCGCAGAGCGAGCATAAGCAGAGCGTAAAACATTG